GGAAATAAAATGAGACTTGAAGGTCCAGAATGGGTCTTTTAAAAAAAAAAAAAAACAACTTATTTTTGTCTTCCTCAAAAACGAAGCCTGAGATCCCTTTCTAGTTCCTGAGCTGTTTAGGTTCTGGCCATGTATGCAGCTTATCATTTTTGAAAAGCCACAGGATTGAGGGACCTGGGTTCATGTCGAGTTCTGACACTAACAAGCTATTCGACTGTGGGCAAGTCATCTACCTATTCTGGCCCCCATTTTTCCTTATCTTTGAGATAAGGATGGTCTACAGCAACGGTCCCTAATTCCTGGGTTACAGACCAGGACGCACAGCTGGAGGTGAGCAGTGGGCTAGGAAGCAAAGCTTCATCTGTATTTGCAGCCGCTCCCCAGCACTAGCATCACCACCTCAGCTCCACCTCAGATCATTAGGCATTAGATACTCATAGGAGCACTGGCCCCTAATGCCACAAAGTTTGGAGACCGCTGTTCTGCAGGATCTCTAAGACCTTTTCATCATATAGATATCTTTATTAGCATCCAAAAATCAAGAATTTTTCTTTTTAACAGAATCATGTGCTGGCACTGACAGCCCAATCCCCTGACGTTGAACATCTGAATGAAATAAGCCTCAAGCTCCCACTTAGTGACATAGCTGTGAAGACATTGCAAAATATGAACCGGCAATGGATTCGGGCTACGGCAACAGCACTGGAACGCTGCAGGTCAGAACAGTCCATCTCGGCCATTCTGTTTCAATTAAGGTAAAATTAACAACTTGAGCTCAGTAATGTCATTGCTATATGCCACCATTTTGTTTGTTTTTAAACCTTTGTAGTGAGCTTCAGGAAATCAGATTAAATGAAAAGTTTCTTTATTGCTGTGAAAAGTGGGTCCAGCTTTTGGAGAAGATAGAAGAGATACTCAAGGAGAATATTGCTGACGGCCTTCCAGCTCTCCTGGAACAGCAGAAAACATATGAGGTAAACCAGTGCTTTCTGCCACCCTCACACCCCTCACCCTGGGACAGGAGTCAGAGAAAGATAGATTGAAATAAGATACAGTGAGTACCTATCAATGTATGTCTTTAAGCAAATTCTCTTGTCAGTTGATCATGTGTAAAATTCTCACACATTTCACAAATTTCAATTTTTGGTTTTATTGCTCTATTTTGTTAATCATAAAACTCCTAGATTTTCTGTGGTAGGTGGAAGCCTCTAGCACAACTTTGCTTCCCGTGGATGCAATTATATCACTTTACCAGGAGCATGTTAAAGTACTTCAACTCATCTTTGCATTTTTACTGAGTAATTCTCTAAAATATCAAAGAACCTGGCATAATTATAATTGTAGCATTAATAATTTTCAAAAGTGCATGATTGATTCACTGTAACTTTTTAATGTAACTGATTTGTCTGCATTGTAATTTTAATATCACGCAATGAAAATAGAATGCATCCAGCCAAGAAGCTCAGTGACCTTGTATTGTATAAATAGCTTCTTTATACCTTAGCTTCCTCTTCTTCAAATGGATATGTTAATACTGCTAAAATCTGAAGTTTGAGGAATAAGTGAGACAACACATCACATGACATGGTGCCCGGAAAATAGTAAATGCCCAATAAACAGGGATTAGTTGTAGTTATTACTGGATCATTTTGCCTCTGAGATTACATTTATAGGTTGTGTTGACATAATGGTTGAGCATTCTTTTTGCAGTTAGGCTTAATTAATTTGAAAATTATCATCTCAGATATCTTCTGTGAACTCAGATTTTAATAGGAAATGTAAACTCCAGATTCATAATGAATTCTGCAAGCCGATATTTGTATTTTTACTCATACAGATGTTAGAAGCTGAAGTTTCTATAAACCAGACAGTTGCTGATTCCTATGTCAACCAGTCCTTACAACTCTTGGACACAACAGAAATAGAGAAGAGGTAAGCTCTCTGGAGCGTGCGGGCATGCGGGGCCAGTGCATGCAGGGCCAGTGCAGCCGGGGCAGGCCGGCTACCCCAGGAGTCTTGACCACGGCAGTGCCCTGCAGCCGTGTCAGTTGATAGGCCAGCCTGGGGCCAGTCTTCTGACTGTATATTAGAATGGGTCTGGCTACTTGACCATAAAAACAGTGGTGGCACTGTCCCCTATGGTGGTCAGGTGGGTTTAGCAGACCAGACACTTTGGAAACACCTACTTGCCAAGCACAATTAACTAAGTTTTTTCCCTAAAGAATTCTTCTGTAGTGTGTTTTCCTCTCTACCTTCAGCCTCATGATGTTTTGCTGTTTAAAAAATAGTTCTGAAGGTGCTGCTGTTCCTAGTAAGTAGTGATGCCACAGGTGCGAAAGAAGGGATTTTCTCTCTATGCTATATACATGGGATTGGGGTCACTGGGTAGTGCCAGTCAGGCTGAGCAGAGCCTCTTTGTCCATCCCAGTGACAATAAAGTAAGCCCATACGAACAGCTGGTATTGTGGCAACAGAGCCCAGAAGTGGCCTGTCTTAAATACTTAGCTCACATATCCTGATAGACATTGTTTTTTCTCCCTATTACCTTTCATATACCGCTGAATCTTCTTTCAGCATAAATAAGAAATATAAAGCCCATTTCTTCCTAGCTCTGGAGTAATAAATTCAAGCCAGTTCCAAGATGATCGGCTACTTTTGATTTGATCAATAAAGCAAAGCATGACTTTCTCCATAATAAATAAAAGGCCTTATTTATCACGTGAAGGGTGTCATTTATCTGGAAAAGAACTAGTTGAGTTGTTGCAGGGAGCATGTTTTTATTGCTAAAATGACATAAAGTATAACCCTCAAGGTGTAGATAACATTACAAGATACCTACCTTTTGATCAATAAAGCAAAGTATGTTTTTCTCCATAATAAATAAAAGGCCTTATTTATCACGTGAAGGGTGTCATTTATCTGGAAAAGAACTAGTTGAGTTGTTGCAGGGAGCATGTTTTTATTGCTAAAATGACATAAAGTATAACCCTCAAGGTGTAGATAACATTACAAGATACCTACCTGTTCATCTGTTTCCCACTTTTCTGGTATATAATTTTCCATACAGCATTTGGCATGACGGATGTTAAAACAGCTACAGTTTGTTTAAGAGTATGGTTGTCATACATGCTGGCACAATAGCAGGTCATGTGCAGATATCTTCTGCTAAAAGCTTTTTGCCAACCCACATACTGCCCCTGTTCCAGCTCCAAGTTTCCCATCACATTTAAGTTGAATTATGCTAAGATTTTCAAGGTTTTTTTTTTCCCCATGTAACTGAACCTATCCCTAGCAAATCTGAGTTTCTTTTATGCCGCAATAGTTATTTTTCCTTTGTGTTCATGTCCGGATTCTCTAACCATCTGTTTTTCCCCAAGACCGGAATTTGTTTCAAAGTTCACGAAGCTGAAGGACCAGTGGCAGAACGCCACCCAGGGCATTCGGCAGAGGAAGAGAGAGGTCGATGGGCTGGTGAGGCAGTGGCAGTACTTCACCACCTCCGAGGAAGACTTGCATCGCTTCCTCGCCGACGCCAGCCACGTGCTGTCTGCAGTGAAGAGCCAGGATTGCTACAGCCTCTGCCAGACCCAAAGTCTGATCCATGAGCTGAAGGTAGGGCATGCACAGTCACAGTGTGAGATGGTAGGGTGGTCATTATTTAGAAGATGTTCATTCACCTCAAGTTTTGTGTTTATTGCAATGTCATGGTTCAAATGGCCTGTCTGCAATGGGGAAGCCACCTGGGTAAGGTCACCATGACCTTACCCGACCTTGTTTCTGGCCTTGTGGGGTCAGAAACCCTGTCTTATTTATTCTTCCTGAAACAGTGGGGCTCTCTTGGGCCGTGGGAGCAAGGATGGAGTGGAGAGATGGGTGGGTAGAATGGAGAAAGTTTGGGGTGACAGACTCACACCACCCAAGTTTTTAAGGCACTGAGTAATGTATAAATTGACCACCAGTGTAGTAATTTACAGTGGGACTCCTGTTTGCTCTTGAAGGGCAAATTCATTTAGGCACCAAAGTTTTCGGTCAGAAGGTTGATTGATGAGCATAGGACCAGAGTAATTAATTAGCTGGCAGTTCTCAGGGAATGTTCCATTGAGCTATAGAACCACTCTCTAGAGGCACAACTAAATAGAACACCCCCCTTCTGAACTCCCATGCTTTTTCCTCTTTCATTAATCCAGTCGTCAAACATTAA